ACTCAGAGTAGGAGATCCTGGGAGCCCCACAGCCTGGCCAGTGCAGGACTGTGATTCCTTCCCATTTTGCCCCCATGTGTTCTTGCTGTTTGATTTTGATGTCCCAGGTCACTGGGGAGGTTAAGCATCTACTCAGTCATTCTCTGGCTGTGAGTATTTCTTACTGTACAAGCCGCCCATTTCTCTTCTTTGCCTGTCTTTTTCTACTGGGTTGTGAGTTTTTACTTGCTGGCTCACAGAACCTCATTGTATGTTATGATATCCATCTGTTGTACGTTTCAGTCTTTTCTCCCAGTCCATCGGATATCATTTAACTTTATCGTGTAATTGGCCATGCAGAAGCTATTTGTTTATTTATTTTTTGAGATGGAGTCTTACTCTGCCACCTAGGCTGGAGTGCAGTGGCGTGATCTTGGCTCACTGCAACTTCCAACTCCTGGGCTTAAGCGATCCTACCATCTCAGCCTCCCAAGTAGCTGAGATCACAGGCACACACCACCCTGCCCAGCTGATTGTTTTATATTCTTGGTAGAGACAGGGTTTCGCCATATTACCAAAGCTGGTCTCAAACTTCTGAGCTCAAATGATCCGCCTGCCTCGGCCTCCCAGAGTGCTGGGATTATGGGCATGAACCACCACGCCCGGCCAGAAACTTTTTATTTTTATGTAGTCAAATCTGTCAGGCTTTTGTTTTATAGCTTCTGGATTTCGTGTGTTGCTTAGGAAGATCTTTCCTCCTCCAAGATCATGAAAATATGCTCCTCTCTTTTGATACTGTGGTGTTAGAGCTTTGTTCTTTCCTTTCGCAGCCTTCACCCATCTGAAATGGATTTGGCAGGATGACACTCCCTTTCTTGTGAAACCCGGTCCTGGCTTGGGATCCGCAGATGCTCTGACACATCCTACCTTCCCTCATTCAGTCACTCTACAAGTATGTTTTGAGCCTTTATTAGGCACAAAACACTGATGATCCTGCTTCGAATAGATCATGCCCTTGTCCTGGGAAGGGTGTATTCCATGGTGGACACAGAGAGCGAACAAACGAACACAGGGTGCTGTGGCTTGGATGTGTGTCCCCTGCTAATCTCATGTTGAAATGTGACCCCCAGTGTTGGGAGTGGGACTAGAGGGGGGTGTTGAGTATGGGGTGGGTCCCTCATGAATGGGTCAGCCCCGCCCCTTGGCGAGGAGTGGTAGTGAGACTCACTCGAGAGCTGATTGCTTTAAAGAGCCTGGCACCCACCCCTCTTTTCTTGCTTCCTCTCTCGCCATGTGACACACGTCTTCCCCCTTTGCCTTCTACCCTGAGTAAAAGCTTCTGGAGGCCTCGCCAGAAGCTGAGCAGATGCTGGTGTCATGCTGGTACAGCCTGCAGAACTGTGAGCCAAATAAGCCTCTTTTCTTTATAAATTACCCAGTCTCAGTGGATTAATGTCCACAGTGAGTGCAATTTTAGGTGGTGTGAGGAAAATGCACAGATCTGAGGATGGACGGCATCACGCAGGGCCATATTCACAATGACATGGTCAGGAAAGTCCTCTCGGAGAAGACAGTCTAAGCCAGAGATGCTAACAGAGTCCAGAAGTGAGCCCCACCGCTGCCAGGGCAACAGTGCCACAGACAGAGGGACAGCAGTGCCAGGGCCTGGGAGGGGGCTGGAAGAGCAAGGCAGTCCTCAGCTGAAGGTGAGGAGTGTAGGCCAGATCACAGGCCTTGGAGGCCACAGGGGAGGGTGCCACTTTATTCTGAATCTGACTGGAAGCTTTAGACGATGGACTTTGGTACATTGTGTGTGTGTGCGTGTATGTGCAGTGGTGTAGCCAGCACAATGCCTGGCAGGCAGTTGGCCTTCCATGTACATTTGAGAGTGGCCCAGGTTAACTCCAGTTCAAGCCCTGTCCTGGCTTCCAGCGACCCCCAACTCCTGCACCTCAAGGCACCCCATCGGAGCGTGAGCTCCTTCCCTCCCTCAAGTCTTCTGCTCCTCCTCTGCACACCAGGGGCCCTGCTTGACTCTTGCCTACTCCCTCTCCCTCACTTGCCTGTGGGCCACTGAGGACATGGGTTCTACCCCTGGACAGCTGCAGAAGCCACCTTCTCACATCCATCCCCTGTCTGCACGCTATCTCTCCTGGATGCTGAAATCAGCTGCAACCTCAGCCACTCCCCTCAGCCTGGTCCTTCCAATCCATCTCCAAATGGCAGCAAGGTCAACTGCTCTGAAGAGCACCCCTGTCCACCACCTCACCTCTCTCCTCAGGTCAATTCATCCAGCTGCACCTGAACACACACACACACACACACACACACACACACACACACACACCTCATCCAGCAGGTATAAACTCAGCAACAAGAGTGCAGAGAGTGAGGCAGGAGGGGAGTTGGGGAAGGGGAGGTGAGAAAAGGAGAAGGAAGGGAAGGAGACAAGAGGAGAGGGAAGTGGAAGGGAGGGGAGAGGAAGGGGGGACAGATGGGGCCACTGACAGAATCAGGGAACAATAAATAGCATCAAAAAACAGTCAGGGTATGAGGCCCCCAAGAAAGAGGCTGAAGGATGGGGAAAAGAGAAGCAGGAGAGATGGGGATGACAGCGTCAAGGGCAGCTGGGGTGAAACAGGGAAAGGCTGAAAATGCCATTGGGTCTGTCCCTCTGAGCTCAGTGACCTCTACCCCACTGTTTACTAGACATACAGCATCTTCTGGATTCTCCCTGCTGTGCTTCCTGTGCCTGGCGATGAACCTGTCTGTGGATGGGGTAGGGGAGGGCCTTGCTGACCTATGGCAGCCATTGATCACTGTTCCTGGGATTTTGGGTGCTGCCTGATCCTGTCAGCTCTCCAGGTGGGCAGAGGCTGCTTGCGGAGCCTGACAAGGACGCAGCCATCCAGCCAGGGGAGGATTCAGGCCTGTCGCTTGCCTCTGGCACACCTGATGATCTGCTGCACTCACACACCTGTGCCACAGACCACGCTCTCCTGATTCAGGGATGATGGTGTGAGGTTCAGTAACCTGCCATGGCCACATGGCCAGGAGAGGTGGAGCCTGGACGAGCACCCAGGTCTGCTGCCTGGGTCTGGTGCCACCAGAAAGGGACACACAGAATGTGCCCCCTTAACCAACTTGACACTACAAGGGGCATCAGCTGCCACCAGGGCAGTGAGGATACAGCTGCCACTACAGGGCATGAGGGAGGGGATGGGGTCAGGCTGTCCCTTGTGAAGCCTGTCAGGAGAGCTTTCAGTTTTGAGTAGCAGACGACCCCATCCACAGCAACCTTAGCAAGCAGGGCCTGAGGACAGAGATATCCTCATGCTCCAAAGGCCATCTCTACCCTCATCCTCTAGCACCAGGTCACTTTCCGCAGGACCCACCCACTGCAGATGGCCTCTTTCCTCCCTGCCATCCACCAGGACTGAGGCTGTGAGCCCTGTGTTAGGAGGCCAGGAATGCGTGTTTCCCTCCCAGACTCTGGAGAAGGCCATTCCCTGACATGAGCATGCAGAGGGGCAGCAAGTGCGCCCCTCCCAGACAGGAGCAGGCTGAGCCAGAGAAGGCTGGGCACCAGCCTTCACAGTTCCCCTTATAGGGGAGACTGTGGCAGCGCATCAGCCAAATAGAGTTGTCACCAACGCCTTGAGGCAGTCCAGGAGGCGTTTAGAGCTGGCCCAGGGTGAAGAGCCCAGAGCCAAACCAAGAGACGGAGGCGTGGCAGGGCTGGCCCCAAGACGGATGCCTGAGCTGAACCCTGAGGGGCAGCCAGGGCACAGAGCAGGAGGATGCAGAAAAGTGCTATGGTTCTCTTTTGGAATTTCAGTGAGGGTGGGCAATGCATTGAATTCAAGCTCAGGAAGGAGGAGAAGAAGGGAAAGCCATAGATGGGCCACTGAGTGTCAGACTCAGCTCAGGCAGGTTACCCAGGGCTTAGCTCACTGTTGTCCACTATCCCATCAGAGAGTTGCTACTATTTGGATTTTATAGGTGACAAAACTGAGGCTCAGAGTTGCTCGCTGGCTTGCCTGCAATTGTGCAGCTGAATGCCCATGCTGGGGTCCATTCCATGGCCCTCTCTTCTGATCGTGTGGTCCACCTCATAGTGACAGCCTTGCAGACAGACTGGAGGCAGCTGTACCAGCTCCTCACCACGCATCCTGCACAGTTCAGCTAGTCCTCCCAGCCACTCTTCCTTGAGGCATCACGGCTCCACCCCATGGGCGGAGCTCAGAGGGTCGGGGAAGGTGTCCAAGTTGGTCCGGACCTAAGGGCTGAGGTCCTAGACAGGGGCCCTACCCTCTCTCCCCTGTGTCCCTGTCATTTCTTTTTCTTGTTTTTCTTTTTTCTTTTCTTTTTCTTTTTGAGATGGAGTCTTGCTTATCACCCAGGCTGGAGTGAAATGGCAAGATCTCTGCTCAATGCAACGTTTGCCTCCCGGGTTCAACCAATTCTCCTGCCTCAGCTTCCCAAGTAACTGGGATTATAGGCACACGCCACATGCCCAGCTAATTTTTTTGTATTTTAGTAGAGACAAGTTTTCACCATGTTGCCCAGTCTGATCTCAAACTCCTGAGCTCAGCCAATCCACCTGCTTTGGCCTCTCAAAGTACCAGGATTAAAAGTATGAGCCACCACGCCTGGCACGCACCTTCCTTCCTTCCTTCCTTCCTTCCTTCCTTCCTTCCTTCCTTCCTTCCTTCCTTCCTTCCTTCCTTCCTTCCTTCCTTCCTTCCTTCCTTCTTTCCTTCCTTCCTTCCTTCCTTCCTTCCTTCCTTCCTCCCTCCCTCCCTCCCTCCCTCCCTGCATCCCTCCCTCCCTCCCTCCCTCCCTCCCTCCCTCCCTTCCTTCCTTCCTTCCTTCCTTCCTCCTTCTTTATTCTTGTTCTGTTGCCAGGCCGGAGTACAGTGGCGTGATCTCAGCTCCCTGCAGCCTCTGACTCCCTGGTTCAAGCCATTCTTCTGCCTAAACCTCCTGAGTAGCTGGGATTACAGGCATGTGCCACCACACCAGGCTAATTTTTGTATTTTTAGTAGAGACAGGGTTTCACCATGTTGGTCAGACTGGTCTCGATCTCCTGGACCTGGTGATTCACTGGCCTCGGCCTCCCAAAGTGCTGGGATTACAGGCGTGAGCCACCCGGCAACTTTCATTTCTTTATTGACTGTTTTCTTAGGAAGTGTCCATCGAAGCCTCCCAGACTCACCTTTTCAGACCTTGTGGAGCCCGCAGCAGAAGCAAATAGGTCAGCCCATTCTTGGGGAACCTGGGCCAGGGAGCCTTGTGAGTAAAGAGACCCAGGCCAGGTGCCTGGGTCAGGGAGCCCAGGGGGCCTCAGGACGCCAGGGGCACCAGCAAGCAAAGATAGCCGACAGGTGCCAAGGAATGATGGGGGAGCAGGGGAGGTCCCAGGCCCAGTTCCCTCAGTCACGCCTCCCCTGGAGGGAACAGGTGCTGTCCCAGGCCTGGGGTCTGTCATCTTTCCCCCATCAGGAGGGGCCATGTAGAAGGGCACACTTAGGAGTGAGGTGGGTGGCAGGGCCTCCAGGGACAGAGGCAGGTGGGAGAGGGAGGCAGGCTGGGGTCGGGAAGGGCCCCGGCTCTGGACACAAGAGATCACAACTGCAGTTTTATGTCCGGCATGTTGGATGAATGAGTGACTATACCCATGGGACACACATCCTAAGCACTCACTGACCATGCCAGACATGGGCCAGCATGGAAAGAAGGACGCGGTTCCCAGCCCCAAGGAGCTCCCAGTGCAGGGGTCACCCCTGTTGCTGGCTTGTCCACCAGAACCTCAGCCCTGACCACAGCTTTCTTCCTTGCTTCTAAGCTGCCCTCTAGCACTCCAGCCCCTGAGGGAGCTGCTGGGAGCTAGAGCCGCAGGAGGCTGGCCCTGCACGCTGCCCTCCCTGAGGCTTCCTGAGACCATGACCCCTGCTGCTCCCAGAAGCCTTGCTTGCTCCCTGGTTGGAGGAGATCCTGGGTGAATCCAACCTCTGGCTGAATGGTGGGGAGGCAGGCCCACTTGCTTGCTGTGGCAGAGACAGAAAAGCCCTGGTCTGCAGGGAGGGGGAGTGGGGGCGATGAGCAACAGGTGCGAGGCCCCTCGGAAGGCAGAAGCCCTTGGAGCAGGGAGGCTCACAGTGGGGCCCACTACAGAGGGAGGACCCAGGTGGGGATGAGTGTGAGGCTCCCCCAGCTCTCACTCCTGGCTGGGGATGGAAAACAGTGGGGTGGCCGGGGAGTGGGAGGATCCTGAGGCCCTCTTTCCCTCTGGAGAAGGCCTTGGGGGCTGCAGGGGGCTCCAGGCTACCAGCATCCAAATCACCAAACCACACAGCTTTGGGGCAATTCCATGAAATGTAACCACAGTACTTTGGTGAATTTAGCTTAGATTGTTGCTGTTTTTAATAAACTATGAGGCTACCTGACTGATCTCTGTGGCTCCTAAAGAGGAGGAAAGGGACTGCGAGCAGGTGGGGAGAGGGATTGAATCAGTGTGGATGCTTCCACGGCACGGAGCAGAAAACTCAACCCCAACAGCACCAAGGAAAATGTCACATGACAAGACCTCCTGAGGAAGGGAGCACCGGGGTTGACTAATTTAGCAATTCAGTGACATTATGGTGGGCCATGCTCCTTCCACGATTCAACTCTGCTCCCCACTCAGTGTGTTCGCTTTGTCCTCAGACTCACACTCCTCATGGTCTCGAGATGGCTGCCAGTGTTCCAAACATCACACACAAATGACACCATAGAAGAGCACCTCTCCCTCTGTGTCTTTTTTATCAGTGAGAAACCCTTCCCAAAGCATGCTTCCCCTCACATCTTATGGGCCAGAATTGTATCACAGGCCCACCTCTAGATCAATCATTGACGAAGAGCCATGTTTGTCTTAGAATAATTAGGATTTACCCTTGAGTCATGGAGTGAGTGTGGACAACAGCAAAACTGAGTCTTACCAGGGAGGAAGACTGAGTGGGGGATGCTGAAGAGGTGACCCGCCTCCAGGACAGCACAGGCTGGGGCCTTCGGAACCACAGTGTCCCAGGGCCTGTAAGACCCACACACACTGAATGCAAGCAAGGCTGGAAGGCCAGCCCTTGTCTGGGCCCTTAGGGTGACCCAACAGCACACACCTGGGAACCACTGATGCTGGGAGAGGGGACCCTGGCTGGGGCCAGCCTGCAAAGATGATGGCCAAGGAAGCTATGTGAATCTGGAGTCAGACAGGCTGGGCCCCTGGGCCCTTCTGGGCTAATACGGTCCAGCACGGAGTGATGCCTGCTCCTCAGTCTGGGTTCTGCAGACATCTGTCAAATGAGGCCCTGCAGGAAATAATAAATACAGCCTGACAGGGCTGGCCTCAGCTCAGATGCCTCTCTGGAAAAGCCCAGCTCAACAGGTGTCTCTCTCCTCCCATGCTCCCAGTAAAGACAGGATCTTCATGGGATGGTCAATGAGGGAAAAGTCTGCATCCTCGGGGACAGCATCCACTTCCTGCCAAGGAATCGTCTCATTGTTTTACAGCCCAGCGTCTTCCCTGAGACTCATGAGGCCCTCCCCTCAACTACGAGCGAGGCCACAAGGGAAGAGGCAGGAATGGGCCCTGCCAGGGTCGTGTCTCCTCATGTCATTAGCTGCTGCTGATGGAAAGTCGAATGACCCTCGGTGGGAGGTGGTGTGAGGAGGAACACGCAGGCTGCTTACCTGGGCTGAAACGGGGCTGTTCCTTCTCATCTCTGGCTGCAGTGTCATTTGCTTTTTTTTTGGAAACAGAGTCTCACTCTGTTGCCCAGGCTGGAGTGCAATGGCATAATCTCAGCTCACTGCAACCTCCACCTCCTGGGTTCAAGTGATTTTCCTGCCTCAACCTCCCGAGTAGCTGAGACTACAAACCCATGCCACCACCCCCAGCTAATTATTTGTATTTTTAGGAGAGATGGGGTTTTACGGTGTTAGCCAGGATGGTCTTGATCTCCTGACCTCATGATTCCGCCAGCCTCGGCCTCCCAAAGTGCTGGGGTTACAGGCATGAGCCACCGCACCTAGCCGTCATTTGCTTTTTAAGAGGAGCCCAGGAAGGCCACATAACCGGCTCCAGACGGGGAATGAACTTTGTAGCCTTCAGATATTTCAAGGTCAGCTCAGGCGGAGTAGTTGTGGAAAGTTCTTTTTAACTTTCAAATTATTTTTCTCATCTATGAGCTCATTTGATTCTCTTCACAGGCCTGGAAGACAGTGGACCCGGGGATTTTTACTCATTTGGCAGATGAGAGAGCTGAGTGACTTGCCTGAGGTCCTGCTTTGGAAGAGTGATAGCTCTGAGCTTAGAATCCTCTGAGACCTAGGCTGTTCCACTGGACCATTTGGGGTGCTCCTTTGAGGGTGAGCAGGCCTCCAAATGGGAGGGGGCTTTCAGAGACCCAGGCCCTCCAACACCAATGCCCAGATGTCATGAGACCCTTTCTGGAGGCATCCAGCTGTCCTGTCATTGGCAGAAGCTTCATCCGAAAAGTTGGCAGACACGGTGTCGGTTGTGACATGGTGATTGAACTTAGTTCCCAATGACGTGTTTGGTATGGTGCAAGATTGGGACTGGTCTTTAGCAATATAATTGTAGAGGATTGGTGGGGACAGAGGGTCACTGGTGCCTGGCAGAGCTGCCCAAGCGTTTTCATCAAAAGTGAGGCAGGACTCCACCCAGCTGGCCCCATGAATAGAAAGGGCACACTGCCTAACTTTCTGGGACACCCAGAGCCGTGAGCCTCCCCGCCTGGCCCCGTAGCAGCTGTTGCATCTGCTGAGCCCTCCTGAAGGATGTGTGCTTCCCTTGACCACAGAAGGCAAGCCCATTTCCAGGCATCCTTGGTACCTAGTTGCCTGGGGATGCCCCAGTTCCTGACAGGGCTGAGCCAGCCTCAGTTCTGCCATAGGCATGTGCTGGCCCCGTCTGGGTGGGTGAGGATGGCGGCCCTTGGCTCCCTTGCTCAGAAGCCTCTTGCTTCCCTTCCCAGCCCCCAGGTCCATGTGCCTGGGAAGCTGCTCCGAAACTGTCCTGGCCCCACTCCCCTCTAAACCTTTGACTCTGGGAAAGGCTCGTTCCAAATGGACAGAACCTCCTTCGACTTTCACCTCGAAACTAGAAATTGAAGTTTCAATTTGCTGTTACAGCACCTGCAACTGGGAGTCTCCCCATCCTAGATCCCTCCCTCCAAGGGGCAGGAGGCAGCCCCAAGGTGCTCAGCGAGTGGAAGGTGTGGCTCTCAGACACCAAGGTCTTCCCATGGGCCTGCCGAGAGGAGGTACACCTGCTGGGGCACCTTATAGCTCATGCCCAGATTGGAAATAACTGCTAAAGCCTCCCTCCTCTCCTCCCCCTTCCTCTCCCTTCCTTTCTGCAAATGTTCACTCAGCTGTGCCATGTTCACAACTGGTCTGGAAGAGGAGCAGGGGCAATAGGGGGGGTCTCTCAAGGGCTTTGATCTTCCCTCAGTTTCAAGCTCCCCCTCTTTTATTTTTTTAGATGCAGTCTCTTGTTGCCCAGGCTGGAGTGCAATGGTGTGATCTTGGCTCACCGCAACCTCCACTTCCCAGGTTCAAACGATTCTCCTGCCTCAGCCTCCAGAGTAGCTGGGATTACAGCCATGTGCCATCATGTCTGGCTAATCTTGTATTTTTTGTAGAGACGGGATTTCTCCATGTTGGTGAGGCTGTTCTTGAACTCCTGACCTCAGGTGTTCCGCCTGCCTCGGCCTCCCAAAGTGCTGGGATTGCAGGCATGAGCCACCATGCCCTGCCTCAAGCCCTGCCTCTTTAAAGCTTGAAAGCTCATCCAAAGCTCACCCCAACCCCATCCTGAGCTCTGTCCTCTGAGGACATCGCCCTCTCTGAGCTCTTCAGTTCTTCTGGATCACACCAGAAAAGCGGCTCCAGAGGGCCCTCTTCCACGCTCCAGACCTAAGTGCACAAAAACAGCCATGCTGGGCTCCCAGCCCACTTCACCTGGATCCCCATCTGAGCTCATCCTGGAACCCTGTTTCCCCCGCCAATAGCCTTCACATTCTGCCAATTACACCTGGGCATAGCTCGTGAACTTGTCCCTTTTCTCGTTCCCCTGCCTGCTCTCCTCTCCAGGATCCCTTCAGCAGCCCCCTCACTGGTGTCTTGCCTCAGCCCTTCCCCTTCCTAGCCTGCGTTTTCCCAGGAGGAAAGATCATTCTGAATGCACACTGGCCTGTCTCTAATGCCTGTAAGACAAAGTGCAGACACTTCAGCAGGGCTCAGGAGGCCCCTCTTTCCCGGGGAAGAGCTGATCCATCCCCCAAGCTTCCCCGTTGACAACTGTTCACTCCCCGCACAAAGCCCCACCTTGCACTTCACTTTCCTAACACCTGTAACCTGCCTCTGGCTACCCTCTCCTTCTCTTCCTGCTCCCCTTTCTCCATTAACTCAGGCCTCACCTCCTGCAGGGAGCCTTCCCAGACTTCCTTCCCACATTCTTCCCCCAGCCTCGGTTCAGGGACCCTGCATGGACTCACCTCCCTTCTTGTACCTATCACACCACATTACCTGCATCTGGTTCCGTGTCTGTCCCTCACCTGACTGTGGTCTCCTAAGGGCAGGAGCTATCAGGCTGATCTTCATAGGTGGGCTTCGCATGCAGGTCTGCCAGGTGGGGCCGCCCCGACCCAGAGAAACAGAGCCAGCAGGAGTCTGGGAAGATGCAGCAGCAATGAGCTCTGGGACACGTAGTTCTGGAACAGAAGCCTCTGGCATTCTGTGTGACCCTAGGCAGGCCACATAATCTCTCCAATCCTCTGTTGCTTCCTCTACCATATAAGGAAAAGGACAAAACCCTCTTCCCCTGTCCCCATCTCCAGGTGGGGTTGTGATGATAACGAAAAATGCTGGAGATACATGGGCTCATGGGATTACCAACATTGCCAAACAGGATGTGTTCCGGAGACACAGAGCAGGGTGCTTTGCCAGCTGAGGATGCAAACTAGGGGGAAATGAGCTGAAGCGACTCCAGGTCTCCGTCTTCTGTGCACCAGGTGCGACCTGCCTCCGTGGCAACCAGGACACACAGTTCTCCTAGCTGAAAGACAGAACACCTTCGCCACTGCACAAGGCACCCCCAAACACCTACTGCACATCTCTGGGTTCCCTTTCCCTCTTCTTCTTGTTCTTCACCCCTGTTCCCAAGAGATCAGTACATTTCCTCCAAACTTCAGACCAAAACTCTCTCTTCTCTGGGAACCTTCCCTGCCCCCTCTTCAAAGTAGATTCTTGGCACCACCCTGGACCCCAGCTTTTAACAGCTGCCATCCTCCCCAAGGTCAAAGTGCTAATTAGCTACTAAAAGTAACTCCAGTCCATACTCAAAGCTCAGGAAAACGCCCCCTACCCCAGCACATGCATGCATGCACGCACACACACCCCATTTGGGAGACCTAGCTTCTCTTCTGAGAAGGCTCACTCTAGTTTGGAGGCTGTATCTTCTGCAGTGTGAGTTGGTCCTACCCTCACCCTCACCCTCACCCTGACTCCCAGGCCCAGTCCAGACCCCCAAAATCTCAGGGCCAACTAGGGATAGAACTAGCTTTCAGAACTGGCTTTCAGTCTCCAATGCTCTTCTCAGCAGGGACTCCTGTCCTCTCATGGAAACTTGCCATCCTGTGTCCCATTGCCGAAGATCACCTCACAGCTGAAAAAGGAGCCTGTGATAAGCGTTCGGGATTGAGCAGATCGTACGTATTTGCAATGCTACTGGAGATGGAGGGAGGAAATGCCATAGCCCAGTGGAATGAACAGCATGGGTGATGTGGCTCATGGCAGAGAGACGGGCGGGGGAGGGCAGGGGCCAAGTCGTTCCTTCACCACCCTCACTCCTTACGCCTGTGCCCAGAGCCAGCCCTGCCCTGGAGGCGAGGAGAAAGGCCCAGAGCTTTGCCCCTGATTCCCCCAGCTCCGGCCCACACCACCTGCCATCCATGCACGCAAAGCCAGGCCTCTGGAATTGTGCTGCCAGGCCCTGGGCTGGAAGAGAAAGGGCTGCCAGGGCTTAAGTCCAAGGGAAGCCCACGAGCTTCATATTTAGAACTTGAGTCTTTCAAGGTCTGAGTCTATTTAGACTCCTAGAAACACAACCTCCATTCCTTAAACATAACTGGCGAGTGGTGGGTGGGGAGTGCAGGGAGAGAGCATAAAACATCTCATAAAAAGGCTGTGCGTCCTGCTGGACATCAAAGGGCTCCCAAGGAGTGCATGCGGATGAGTTCAGGATAGAGGAGTCATCAGCATATGGATTAAATTCCCTATTCATTATGCATCCGCCGGAGCATCAGGAGAAAACTTCACACAGCGTGGCCCCAGTTCAACGAGCTGGAAAACGCTCTGAGTCACGGAGGGACCCCAAAGGCAATCAGCCACTCCCCACCATCCTGAATCTTCTTCCGCTGTGGAAAGACCTACCTCCTGCAGTGCTAGAGGAAACCGGCTGTGCTAATTCAGAAAGGCTGGCCCTCCTCACCATGGTCAGCCCCTCCATGCCTCTCCAAGGTCTGCTGCAGCCCGGCCAGCTCACCCAGATATAGCTGGGCCCTCCCCTGTATTTGGCCCCTCCTGGCTCTCCCCACTGCCACCCCAGGACTGTGACCCTACTGCCCATCCCTGTCCCTACAACGGCAACCTGGGCCTGCTTGGAGGAGAGGGAGGGGAGAAAGGTGCCCGGCGCCCGTCCAGCAGGCCTGTCCTGCTCAGGCAGGGCTTTCTACTGATGGAGGACCCGGCACATCTCTTCCTTATGCTCATCCCAGCCCACCTCACAGGCCAACCCCTTTTTATCTTCAGTAACCTTCTCCTCTTCCAAAGTCATCCCAGCATCCAGGCCTTCTTGAAATCCCCATGCCCCACAAAGCGCAAGGCCTAAAGTGCTCACTCACCCGCTGTCTAGAGTTAGTGGGAGGCTCTGATAGCATGTGCGGCATTTGGCCAGAGGACCCAGCCATGCAAGATTCCTGCTCTGTGAATTGCTGCACCTCCTCCGGGCTCCTCAGGAGATGTGTACACAGAAGACCGATAGCAAGGTGGCCTCAGGAGCCCACTTCAGGAATGGAGGACTTAGTTCCCCAGCTGTTCAGATGTCTCCAGCGCTCCCTGTCTTCTTCCTGCAGGCAGGAAGACAGCCCCCTTGCCCAAGGGCACGCCCCTTCCTCAAGGGACACATCAATGGCTGATTGGTGGTGCTGAGGTACAAAGGCTTGGGGACACACCTCCAATGCAAATCTCTATCTCAGCTGCTTCCCAGGGAACCCCACCTGTGACATACCAAGCAGGAAACTGAGACAGAACCTCTTCACTAAAAACTGGTCTCTCATCCAGTATCGCCCCGTGCAGAGTTCCGGGAAAGCTAAGGCACAGAAAGCACCACTTTGGTCCTCCGGAATGGGGAGGCTGCCTATCTCCCCACAAGCACAAATCCACATCTCTCTGGCCAGCCATGCCCAAAACCACACACTCTGCATGCAGAGGAAAGAAACCGCAGTCTGAGAATAAACTCGGGCGCTCTTCCTGTGCCAAGAGAGACAGACGACAGCAAAGGAGGTGGCCTGTTCACAGCAGGTGCTTTGCAAGTGCAGGACCTTGCCTACCAGCAAAGGTGGCCCACTGGGGGGCTTTGCCATCTGACTAGAGCAGGAGCTTCTCCTCTCTCAGAGCTGATGAGTGCACGGAGGGAGGCCCATGCAGGAAGGAAGGTCTCCTCTTCCCTTCTGATTTGGAGCTGAGCCCAGGGCTCACCCAAACCAAGTTCCAGGCCCAGCTTCAGAGAGTATTTTATGAAGCAGACATTCACTGCAGTCCTAGGCGCCTTTGTTTTCTCAGCTATAAAGTGGCACCAGTGGCCCCATCCCGCTGGCTCATGGGTTGGGGTGAGGACATGCTGGGAGAGTAGTGGAAAGGCTCCCCGCACTGTGAGGGGTGCACACACATGGAACCGACTGTTACGGTGATGATGAATGGTTTTGCCTTCCCCTCCAGAGTCCACTTCTCAGGAGGGCCGGGATTAGGCTTCACATCTGGGTTTCCCTCCAGCCAGCAGAACCAGCCTGGACACAGGTGTTCCCCGAAGCTGGCTGGATGATGAACTAAGGACTGAAACCATCAGGAAGACGGATGATGACTCGGCGTGGGGCGAGCCTGGACCAGCTGCTAGGGACCTTCACACAGCACTCTTTTCCATCAACGTTTCACTACTGCTGTCCTAACATCCACAGCTTGCCGTTGGTTTTCCGTGTTGTTTGTGGCTAGCCTGAGAGTCTGGGAAGGACAGGAAGAGGGAAGCACAGCAATTGCTCACAGGGGCTCTGTGCACTTTACCTCCCCGATGGCCTGCAGAAGCAGTGTCACCACTGCGGGGCCAGCACTGTGCTCTGGCACACAGCTGAGCTGGGGGTGGGAACCAGGGCTCGAGCCCAGCCTGTAGTCCACTCCCCAAGCTCTGCCCAGGGGAGCAATTTTTTCTGGTCACACAAAGATGCTCTATAGGTTGGCAGTCCCCAGATACCTAACCCCTCTGAGGCATGGTGCCATTTTACAGAGGAGAAACTGAGGCTCAGAGAAGTTCACTTGCCCAAGGTCACACCACAGGTGAGTAGTGGAGCCAGGCAAGTACACTTTAGGCTGGGCTTGAGCCCTGGCCTCCTGGAGTCCGATAGACTCTACTCCTTACAGAATGTGGGTGTGGACTCCACTTCTTACAGAGTGTGGACACTGTGGCCACCTCCACAGATGTCAGACAGAGGCTCTCTTCACAGGCTGGCTATGCACAACCCCACCTTACAATTCAGGCACACAGATAATTCCTTACATGATGTGTTATTTACAGTCCTTCTGATTTCAAGTAAGAGCAGCCAAACGAGCAAAAGAGAAAAACTTTATTGGAAAGACACTGAGAGACCTGAAGGAAATGAAAAATCCCAAAAGAACAGAATCCAAGATTGTCCAGGACAGCTCTGAGGATCTCAGAGTTGGAAATGGATTGCCTTTCATCCAGAACCCGGCATGAGCTGGACTTGGCTTTCAGTCTCTGTGTTACATTTCCAGGTTCCTAAGAGAGAAAGCGAGCGTGTTGGGCAACCTGGGTCAAGTGTTTCCTTCAGTGAATCATTTCCTGAGGCCAGGGCCCCTGTGACATCGTGATTACCTGCAGCCTAACACTGTGATCACGGGCAGTCACCACGTGGGGGATGTATACACCACCCTTAGATGCAGCGAGAGGGACTACTGCCCAGCCTCCAGGCTTCAGAAGGCCCTGCATATTACGAACGCGTGCGCACGCGCACACATACACACACACCAACACACACTTCTTTATTTCATTTTATTTATTTATTTTTTGAGATGGAGTTTCACTCTTGTCGCCCAGGCTGGAGTGCAATGGCATGATCTCAGCTCACTGAAAGCTTTGCCTCCCGGGTTCAAGAGATTCTCCTGCGTCAGCCTCCCACGTAGCTGGGATTTCAGGCATGTGCCACCACACCTGGCTAATTTTGTGTTTTTAGTAGAGATGGGGTTTCTCCATGTTGGTCAGGCTGGTCTGGAACTCCCAACCTCAGGTGATCCACCCGCCTAGGCCTCCCAAAGTGCTGGGAGCCACCACGCCCAGCTGCACACACTTTTCAGAAACACACAGGATCCAGGCCTCAGTGCTGGCAGATAACGAGGTTAAACATCAATTCTCATGACTGGCATTGCTCAGGCCCCAGGGAAATCCATTTCTTTATCTCTTGCTTAATGTCCTCAACAAAAAAGGCATCTGAATGCTGGAAAACTTGTGAGTTACACCTATGCAGATGTCAGGTAGACACTGCTTCCAAATGGAAGGAGAATTTGCATGGTGGAAGCTCTTCCCTAAGAGAAAATACAAACTATTTCACTTGTTAAATCCTCTCAGCATGAATGCAATAGATCTTTAATGACTTATGTTTAGTAACAAAATATTGTTTCCTAGTAACATTGAGCATCAATTTTTCTTCTCTTCCTGTTCCAATTCATGATTCTGAAGGCACCTGATAGTTAGCATACTTTCACAATAGTGGAGTTGATATTTCGCATAATCAGTTGAGAAATACATTGCAGTATTAAACAGTTCGTTTTGCTCTTCAATGAGTATACATGTAGGTCTACATTAGAAGTAATATGATGAAGTGTAATATCAGTGCTTTCTGTTAGTGACTAGATGCACGCAGAATGCCAGAATTGTGGATAATCTTTGTTTTGTAAAATCACTTAATATGACTTTCTTAAATTTTCAAAATATTAATTAAAAACTTCAGCTTTACTTAAATAATTTTACTTAATTTAATTTAATTTACTTAAATAAATAAGCTTTTGATATCCATTCATTAGAGTTGTATTTTCTCTTTCAATTGTCAGAGAGAATTGTGAATATTTTAAGGAAGATGCTTTTTTGAAAACATACGTTTTTAAATGTTTTTGATTCTATTTACCATAATTTAGGATTTTTTATAAAAAAATAAATTCAAATTTTGTACACTAAATGCAATCACCTTTTTTTTTTTCATTATATAGTCTAGCATTGACAAACTTTTTCTTAGTGGGCTAGATAATAAATACGGCAGGCAGACAATATGGTCTCTACCACAAACAGTCGGCTCTGTCATTGCAGCATAAAAGCAGCCACGATAAAACATAAGTGACTGTGTGCCTATGTTCCAATAAGACTTCATTTACAAAACTATTTGTTTATATATTGTTTCATATGTAAAAATTGTTTTGATATCGAGATTAATAAAAATGCTCGTTAATCAACTATGAACAAAGATAGAATGCCAAATCTGGCTGGGCACAGTGGCTCACGCCTGTAATCTCAGCAGTTTGGGAAGCCAAAGCAGGCAGATCACCTGAGGTCAGGAGATTGAGACCATCCTGGCTAACATGGTGAAACCCTGCCTCTACTAAAAATACAAAAATTAGCTGGGCGTGGCGGCGTGCACCTGTAATCCCAGCTACTTGGGAGGCTGTGAGCTGAGATCATGCCACCGCACTCCAGCCTGGCAACAGAGCAAGATGCTGTCTCAAAAAAAAAAAAACACACACACACAAAAGAATGCCAAATGCCAAATCTGGCTATAGTGTTCACTGAATATTAATATTCAAAAATCAGTTTTGATGAAGTCTTTGGCAAACGTGCAGAAGTTAAAGCTGAAAATAAAAATCTGTGATGTTCTTGATTACTGTCACAGTCTAATGCTTTTTAAAAAGATTCTTCCCCTTTTCAAAAAAATTTTAATTCAAACGTATTAATACATGATCTCTCTTTTGTACAGCATATTAATTTTATTTTTTATTTAAGAAAATGTTTGACCATCATGATCTATATATTACATATATAAAATTCAATGAAAGAAACATTTCACTGTCTGTACCTCTTTTCTTGCCATTATTATTATCAACTTCATTTCATGATGATTTTCTGAGACTCCAGTATATAATGGAAGGGGTGTGAAAACAGGAGCCACTCTGGGCCATGACATGCTGGAGCGAGCTTGCTGTGGCTCATGAGAACTGATGGTGAGGTCTCTTCCCAGTTCTGTGTCCATAGCTTGAAATCAGCCACAATGGGAGTATTTACACCATGAAAATCTACGAACACCACAAATGAGTCCTGGGGCCCCCAGGGAGCTGGCTGTTAAATATTTGCCAGTCCACCTCTGACTCTGCTTCTCAATATGCTGGGTACAGACCTGCGTGGGCCCAGTCCTGTTTGGGTCCCTCTTATGTAGCAATGGAATGCTGCGTACTCAGTCTTTCTGTTTGGCAGAGCCGATAACACCCAGCGAATAAGGAGAGGTGCAAGGCGCATGGCTGTCTGTCATCTTCTGGTCAGGTATGCAGTTTCTCTCCTTGGGCCCAGTATTCTGCAAGGAGCTAATTGACAAAAGGAGACTAGGTGCCTGCTGAACAGATCAGAGCTTTGCTCTGCAATCTTAGGGGTTGCTTTGCTCTGCAATCTTCAGTTATGATTCTCTCTCAGTGCTTTCAAAACCCTGACCTACTTAAGAAACTTAGCACCATTGGATCTACTGGGTTATAAGGCACACGGGACAGAGCTGCTTATAGCCTGGGCCAGCTTAAGAGATTTCTCTTGCTGTGCGCCCCACCCAGACTGAGGAGCTGATGGCTTACTCATAAATGAGATGGACGAACACAACACAATGAAACAGTGTGTGTGCCTTACAAAGCCTAAAGGGTTCTCAAAGCCTCATGCCTTCTCTTTGTGCAAGGGGATAAATTGAAACAACTTCTTCACTTAGTAGCAAATATCCCAATATGTTCCAGACCACTAGAATCCCAGAAACTTCAGTGAGGTGGCCTCGTATTAGTATGGAGTTTATCACCTGTCTTACATCACACATATGCCTTATAAAGGCATGTAAGTACATGTTCTTTCTACTTCCCCTGGCCTCCTAGCTTGATGTCTGCAATGCTGGAGACTAGCATTACATCATCGGAGATGGTGACACAAGTACAGTGAATTGTGCCACCAAGCCAGGAGCCTAATGGAATCAGAGAGCAGATGGTGAAGACGTACTGCTATCCTTTCCAGGTAAAGTCAAACTACTGAATTCCTGATGCTTTTATGTTCACGGGAATTTTCTTTAAATGACCAACTGTGATGCCATGGGCTGTGTAAATTTGTAAATATTCCTCATCTTAAAATAGCAACTGCAATTGAGGTTACCACTTGAATGAGTTTACAATAATGTGTGGCTACTCTCCATCTGTCTTCTGTATCAACGAAACAGGCAAGTTATATGATAATAAGATAAGAATCACTACTCTTGCACTTTTTTCAAATATTTTATGCTGGCACTAATATCTGAAATTCCCCCAAGGATATGGAATTATATGGACTAAGAACTTCAACAGTGAGGTAGAATTCCAGGGGCTTCCATTTGGCCCATCCCAGTAATATACTAAGCCTATGAGAGCCACTATTCCACAAATCAAGAAGTGGGTGTAGAGATTCTGTCCATTTCTAAGCATTTCCAACTATTCATGTGAAATGGAAGGTAAACATGGGATGGGCTTGGGTTCTCATTGCCTTCATTGAAGTAAATTGAGTCAAAACTCCAATTATCCCCCTGCCTCAAAATCCTCTGACTGGTAGACCACAGTGATGTTTTCTTTTTTTTCTTTTCTTTTAAGATGGATTTTTGCTTTTGTTGCCCAGGCTGGAGTGCAATGGCACGATCTCAGCTCACCAAAACCTCTACCTCCCGGGTTCAAGCAATTCTCTTGCCTCAGCCTCCCAAGTAGCTGGGATTACAGGCATGTAACACCAAGCCCCGCTAATTTTTGTGTTTTTAGTAGAGACAGGGTTTCTCCATGTTGGTCAGGGTGGTCTCGAACTCCTGACCTCCAGGTGATCCGCACACCTCAGCCTCCCAAAGTGCTGGGATTACAGGTGTGAGCCACTGCACCCGGCCATAGTGATGTTTTAAGTTTCCAGGAATCAGTCTTAGCTCAGAACCAACGTTCAACAGTCCTTTCTCCAATGCAGAATTACAGACAAATGGCCCAGGTCACTCTGTGATAGACCTGGAGAAAGATTCATGTTATTACAAGGTCCTGCCTTAAGGCCAATAAATTTATTCGATGGGGACTGAATCTGTGACTTGAATCAAGCCTATCTAGAGATTGGCTGAGAAGCCACCACTTTCTATCATGGTGACTCCAGTCAAATCCACGAGAACCTTAGTAGACTACCTATCTCCTTCAGTCTTCAGGTTCCTAAAACCGAAGAGCCATGACCAAGATAACAGTCAGACCATTATCACTCCAGCCCAACTCTCTGTGATGCTCCCATCCGGCTTTCTCTGTTGCTGTCTCTGGTGGTCACCCACCACCGCTTGTCTCTGCCCCTCTTGGATCTTCCATCTTGAAATCAGGAGCCTGTTTCCACCACACTCTCTCTGACCTGCATCTGTGGCCCTTGGAGAAAGGCCATTATTCCACTTCCCAATGGGGCCAGCAGTCTCCTCACCAATGTAGTTCTGGTGAAAGTTGTATCCTCTTGGGGAACAAAATTAGAAAGAGGTTCATGCACAATAACTCCGCTTCAGTACTATAATTTTGTAAATAATTTCTGGTGTCTCAATGTAGGCTGTGCCTGAGTCTGGGTGTCCACTGGCCAGCAGAGAGAAAGACAAGATGGCTCCCACCCGCCCAAAGCTGCAGAAAAGGACCCCGATACAGTCAATTTTACTCGCTCACATGCCAATTAATTTGGAAGATGCTTAGAAAGAGAACTGACAACATTGCTAATGGATGTGGCGTGTGAGGTGGAGATTTCCAAGGTGATTCTCAGGTTTTGTCCAGTGACACTAGGTAGATGGCACGCCATCGAGTGATAAGGTAGATTTTCACACTGAGTAGATGGCATGTTGCCTTGTGACAAAGGCAAATCTACAGGAGCAGCAGGGCGGAGGTAAATGCTACTGGTATGCCCACTTTGCAGAAGTGGAAACTAATGATTAAAGGATTTAAGTGATGCGCCTCGTATCACACAGCTCATAAGTGACAGAGTGGGGTTGAAGTCCATGTGTGCCTGGTCCCCGAGCCCATGCTCCTGCTGCCTCACCCCTTCTGGCTCTCCTGCTTCCCCACTCTGCCTCATCCCCAGCCCCGCCCTGCCCCCGGTGCAGTCACTGTGTCTCCTGGTACGTTCTAAGGCTTCCATGCTAAGCCCTTGCATACCTCCTTGCAGTGAATTCTCTCAACGCCCCTGTGTGATGGGTTCTGTTGGCCCTGGTATTACAGACAAAGCCGCTGAAGTTCAAGCACGCTAGTTGACTGCTTACACCTATGCAAGGACTGACGACAGCACTGAGACTTTATCTCGCAGGGCAGTGAAGAGGATCAAAAGAGAAAGTGTTAGTGAAAGTTCTTTGAAAAGTTAGCTGGGTGTAATACAAAATGGCCTGTCCATGGTACGTCCTGTTGGAGTGTCCTGCCTTGTGACTCAGCAAACCTTGCTGAATGCTGCATCCCAGGGGACCTTTCCTGGTGCTTGGGAATTGGTGATGGAGTCCACAGGCGAACTCGAGGAGGCACTAAATGCCCCACAGTGTGAAGAGAGGGGCCAAACACGGAGGTCAGGCTCCTCCTGCCAGAAATAGAGCTGTGGCCTGCTGTCGTCATCTGCTTCTGCTCAGTCCTATCACTCAGGACAGCACCTGGCGACAGGGCAGGAAGCAGGATTGAGGGTGTGGGAGGAAAGGTTTTGTGGTGAGCACTTGCCCCTCCTTTCCCTGGGGAGAAGGGGGCTACTTCCCCACCTGCCCTGCCCCTGGCCACAGCATTGAGCCAGGCCAAATGATGCAGGTTGCCAAGGGAGTCACTGGCATTTTGCTCCCCACTTGGAGCCCCCTGTTGGCTGCTCATCAGCATGGAGCAGAGTCAGGGGCCCCCTGTGAGAGCTGGCCAGGGCCCCTGCATTTCAGGAGCTCATAGGCATAGCCACAGCGCCTTCTTCCACTCTGGAGTTTTCTGAACCTGGAAGACCCATGGGTGCAATCTCAACAGCTGAGCAGAAAACCTCCCACAGGCTGAGAGCTGAGGGGAGCATGGGAAGTCCCAGCATTGTCCCAGACTCATACAGCTCTAGCCAGGCATGGAGGAAGATCTTAAGGGCACCACAATTCCACCTGGGTGGCCCACAGCTCTAGCCACTCTGATGTTGGCAGGAGTGCTGAGGGCTGCTGGGGTGAGCAGACATCCCACCCAGAGAGGGCCAGGGTGGAGGCCAGGAATGGGGACCACAGATGTGGCAGAAGGGGACATGACTATCCCTCTGGATGTCATGGATGTCAGTGAGAGAGGGTCCTGAGGTGAAGAAGAACACCTGTCCATGGTGAAGAAGGGACCACGTGGGCTTACACCAGCCACAGACTGCAGGGGGGAGGCCTCCAATCATCAGCATGGACCCAGGTCCTGGGACACAGCGTTTTCTCTCCTGCCCCATCTGTACATAGCCACATCCAGAAGGCAGGGTGGATTGGGAGGGACCATATGTCTCAGAAGAGACCACACCCTCCCATCTTACCCTTCAGGTCCTCCACTCTGGGGTCAAATCTGAGTAGGGAGTGAAGGAAGAGAGACTGCATTTGGGATGGAAGGTTTCAACCAGCCAGATGTGTTGGAATAACCGAAAGCTATTTGATCCGCTTGCCATGTTGTTAAGGAGTCAACAGAATGTTAAGGATCCAACATTGAAGTAAGTTGCCCTGCACACAATGACGGCTTCAGACTGCAGCCTTCAGCTAGAAGGACCCTCCTAGCTGAAACGCCACCTCGGCTCATCAGAAACGCAGCCTGCCCAGGCGGACACAGCTTCCCATGGCCCTGGACAGAAGGGGAAACTATGGGGAGTGAGTGCTGGGATCCCAGCTCCCCGGCGAGCATCCACTGTGACCCTGAGTCTTGCTGCCAGTGCCAAGAGGAGAGAAGGAGACACTGACTCGCTGACTCATAGCTTGATGACAGCACTCCCACTCTCAGTGACAGCAACCAGATGGCAAAGCCCTGTCCTGAGACCACCCAGTCATCACAGCACAAACTTGCCTTCCATCAGAAGCAAGCAAATTCGCCCTCGGAGGCTGCTATTTTCAGCCTGGCGGGTTGCTAGTTAAGGCAAGGTTCTTGCCTTCTTTATGGGTTATGAGTCAAGCAGAGATAGATTTGAAAAACAAAACAAAACGCCTTACCTAGAAAGCACAGGAATAAGTCAAGATTGGTAGGTTGGGAAGACTCGGCGCACTTCCCTCTGGCACACGCTCAGGTTGCAAGGCCAAATGCCCCAGATGGCCCCCAGCAGTCGGCAACAGGGCTGTGACCGCAGCCACCTGTAGTGAATGCTGGAGGATGCACATGAGGCCTCAGTGATGACGCACAGTGACGTTGGTCTGTAAGGAAAGTAAGGCCCCGTCCTCACCAGCTTCTACCCTTCCTATCTTTAAGCTTGGTCTGGTGTGGGAGCTCAGGAGCTGCACAGGCAGGGGCCCAGGCTGCAGGCTTTTTGTCAGCTCTGCCCCATGCTGGCGTCCAGCCTTCTGCCCTCTGCAGGGCCCACACAAGGAAGAACTCAAGGGCAGCCTGGGGCAGGCCCAGGCTCAGAGCAAGTATGGAACAGGAGAGGACCAGAGGTCAGAGAGCGTCTGGAGCTGTCTTGGAGGATGTTGGGGTGGTGGGGAGGTGTTGGGGGGTCGCTGATTTATTTAACAAAACCTCCCGGAGGTATCCAGTATCAAGGCCTTGTGCTGCAGCAGAGAATCAGACCACAAAGCATCTGCAGCACTGAGCCAGCTGGAGCTCCCAGTCCAGGCAGGCACCAGAGAGGGGCAGCCAGACCCGGAGAGTCCTCACCAAGGGCGCGTGCAGCTGAGACGGGCAGCGGGCCATCTGGAAAATCTAAAGAGGAGGGGGGTTCTGGATGAGGCCCCGCCCACACTTCTGGGCTGCCCTGGGGGCTCTGGATGAGGCCCCGCCCACACTTCTGGCCTGCCCTGGGGGGCTCTGGATGAGGCCCCACCCACACTTCTGGCCTGCCCTTGCCCTCTTCATCCCCACCACTCCTGATTTCCTCCCGATCCACGACTTCATTCCTCGTTGCCTTGGCAGATGACGTCCATCCCCTGGACCTCAATGCTCTCCCTTCTCTCTGCCTGACAAACTTCTGCCTTCTTCAGCTGCCCTGGAAAGT